CCAGATATCCCTTCTCCCAGAGTGAGCTGTAGACCCACTCTGATCCCAGTCAGAATTTCCAGAGACTTTTCACTGAAACACTTACCTGTGGAAATGCAGGAACCCAGAAGAGCTGAAACCACGTCGAGAAAGGAGGCAGGGGAGCCTTTCCCCTAAGCCTCAGGGCTTCCCCGAGAGCCATGGCGGCCAGGCTGGGACCCAGGGGAAGACCCGCAAGTCTCCCAGGGCAGAGCGCGCCCCACGCCGAGACCAGGGCCTGGGCCGACTCCCAGCTGCTTGCACGGGTGTCGGATCTGAGCCCACCTGCAGTGGGAGTTGGCCTGTTCACAGCAGTGTCCGGGCTGGCTTTGTGCACGGAGGCTGAGCCACACCTCGGCTGGGCCATTCTGGAAGCGTACCACATGCTGCAGAGTGGTTTATTAGCTGCTTCCTCTGAGACCCTAGCTTGTGCGTACAATAAGTTTACAGTAGATTTACATAAAACCATGCCAGCCTTTGCAGTTTTTTCCACGTGCGCAGTCCCCACATCTGGTGCCTGGCCCTAAAAATGGCACCTCTGGAAACTCCACTTGCCGTCACGGAGTTGAAGCCGCCAAACCGTCCCCACCCTGGCGGGTACTTTGCAGCCCAGGCAAGACCACCAGCGCATCGCTGGTGCCAGCACAGCTTCCGTGTACCGATGGTGCCAGGGAGCTGCCCTGAGCTCCCAAGCCCCTCACCTTGGCCGTCCCTACCAGCAAGCGACATGGCCAGGCAGAGGGCATCCGCCCAGGCCCATGACACAGCACCATGCAGCATGGCAGCTCAGCACCTCTGGGAGGGACTGCGGCGCGGCTCGCTGTGGGCTGTGCACACAGCCCCAGCTGTGAAGAGGACGCTTCAGCCCATGGGAGGGCAGCCTGGGGCCCAGCACTGGTGACAAGTGGACAGGTGGCTGGGCCCAGCTGGAAGGGCCTGTGTGCCCCGTGATGGAGGAGCCCAGCCAGGGTGCGGAGGCGGGGCAGGGAGAGCCGGGCCCTCTGCGGCTTGGCAACTTCTCCCAGACCATAGTCCCTGGCCGGCCAGAGTCCCCCCCTGGGTGTCCGTCTTGTAGATGCAGAGGTGCAGGCTGAGGTGCGAGCAGGGAGGGGACACCAGTCCTGAGGGAGTCTCATGCCCATGCCTAGGGCTCCCTGAAACATTCTGCCAGCCGGGGCAGGCCGCCTAGGCAGGGCATGCAGGGGGTATCGGCTGGCAGCAGGGCACATGGCTGTACCCGGGGCAGGGTCGTGCACAGCCTAGAGTGGAGCTGCGCTGGAGCCAGGGTGGAGGCCGGACTGGCTGCGGAGCTGGGTGCCTGCCGGGCCTTAGGTCAGAGAGCTGTACTCGGCCGTCATACAAGGGTGCTCGACGTTAGTGGTTTCCCGCTGTTGGGAGAGTTTTCATGGACTTGGCGTGAACTGCATCGGATCGCTGTCGTGCCTGGGGCCTGTTAGTGGCCAGGGCTCCCTTCTGCAAGCACACTCGTCCTCACCTAAGTCCTGGTGATGTCGCACCCCAGGGGCTCAGAGCCAGGTCCCGTGGATCCAGCCCCGTCTGGAAGAACATGTGGGCAAGGGCCTGCACTGACCACCCCAGGGTGCCTCTACCTCTCCTCTGTCTCGGAGCCTCGCGCCCTCTGGCCGGCTCAGACGAAGCCGGGACTCTCGCCCGCCCCCACCCCCGCACTGTCAGAGCCAGAAGTGCGCGCCCTCATGGGGCTCTCTGCTTTTAGGAGTCCCCACGAGAAGAAGAAGAAGCGGCGGTCTCGGTCGCGGACCAAGTCCAAGGCCAAGTCCCCAGCGGCATCCCCGAGTCGGCAGGCGGCACCCCGGCCTGCGGCACACTCGGCACACTCTGCCAGCATCTCCCCCGCCGAGAGTCGGGGCTCCAGCCAGGAGCGCTCCAGGTGACCCACCCGGGTGGTTCTCAGCGGGGAGGGTGAGGGCGTCCCTTCAGCACACTCCCTCGTCTGGTACCCGGGAGCCCAGCCCAGCTCCCCTTGGATGGCCCAGGCCGTGGCCTGGGGACAGGGACAGGCTTCTCAGAACAGAGTGCGCCCCGTGCTGCAGGGAGGCCTGCTGTGTGCCGGCCGGACACAGCGCCTTGGGGTCACTACAGCCAGCACGCATGGGCCCTTCACCCCGGGAATGCAGCCCCACCTGGTCACCGGGGCGGGAACCACAGGGGAGGTCCGGCCACACAAGCTTCCAGCAAGTAGGACATGGGGTAGCGAGGTCCAGGTGACCATCAGAAGGGTTGGGTCACACAGGGCAGTGTCGGGTCACGGCCCAGCCTGGCCTGGTGGCTGTGGGTGGCGGTGCCCTGGAACACAGCCGTCTCCGGCAGGTCTGATAGACAGAGGTGAACTCAGCTCCCCGGGCGGGCAGGGTCCCATGGGAAGGGCCTGTCCTTGCTTCCACATGTGAGCCAGGCACGTCCAGGGAGGGAAGTGGCAGCAGCACTGAGCCCAACGAGCTCTGCCGCCTTTGTCCCCGTCCCCGTGTGGTGTGCGGTGTCTACGGGGGTGTGAACGAGCTAGGCTATGCGTGTGAGTGCTTCACGTGTGCAATGCGGAGTGAGTGTCTTGCGTGTGCACGCAGTTGGGAGGGGGGCTGCAGCATGGTGACCATTTGTCCTGCCACCATAGGGGAGTCTCTCAGGACAAGGACGGGCAGATCTCTTCGGCTATCGTCTCTTCTGTGCAGAGCAAGATAACTCAGGTACGCTCCCCATCCTGCGCCGGGGTCCCGTCCCTACCCTGCAGTCGCGGGTGGGGGGCCCAGGTCTCCACTTCAGGGGCATCCCACTCCACCCTGGGGTCCTGTACCCAGTCCCCTCCTGAGACCGCCACGCTGGGGTCAGCCCCACCAGCCAGTGTCAGGTCCTTGTGGGGGGGTCGCACAGCCTCGGGACCGGACTAGGTTCGGCAGACCCTACCCTCGGGTGCCCTTGTTTGCTCTGCTGCCTCGCGGGCCTGGCAGGCCCTGGCTGTCTGCACCACAGGTGGGCCAGTCCCCACGTCCCCCGGGAGGCTCACGGGTGCTGCGGTCTCACCCTGCACAGGATCTCATGGCCAAAGTCAGAGCAATGCTCGCAGCTTCCAAAAACCTGCAGACCAGCGCCTCCTGAGACTGGCCGCCGCCCAGACGCTGTCTCCACGGCCACGTGGCGGCCACGC